TTTTTTAGGGATGGAAAAAAGAAAGCAAGGGAGTAGTGATATAAAGCAGGTTGAGGGGAAAGAGGGGGAGGTAATATCTGATATAGTGGGGATAGCGAGAAGGGTGGAGGAGTTTTATAGGGAATTATTTGAGGAGGAAGTAGGAGACAAGGAAAGTTTGGAAGAGGCATTAGGGAGTATGAAGGCAGTATTGAGTGAAGAGGGAAGGGATTTATGTGAGGGAGAAATTAGGAAAGAGGAGGTGGAAGCGGCAATAATGGGGATGGGTAGGAATAAAAGCCCAGGGCTGGACGGTTTAATAGCAGAGTTCTATGTGGAGTTCAGGGGGGAGCTAGTGCCGATCCTAGCAAATCTGTTTCAGCTTTTTGAGGAGAGGGACGAACTGCCGGATGGATTGTCAACAGGGGTGATCACTATTTTGTACAAAAAGGGGAGTAGGGAGAATTTAAGCAATTATAGGCCGTTGAGCATGCTCAATAGCGATTATAAAATTTTAGCACGGGTGTTGTCAAATAGGTTAAAGAGGGTAATTGGGGTAGTGGTGGGGAGCACGCAGGCTTACAGTATACCGGGGAGGGATATAAGTGACACGATTGGGAGTATAAGGGACACTATTCATTTTATGAAAGGAGGGAAAGGGGGAGTTGTGGTGAGTATAGATTTAAATAAAGCTTTTGACAGGGTGAACCATGAGTATTTGTTTACGGTGATGGAGAAGGCGGGGTTTGGTAAAGGTTTTATTGGGTGGATAAAGAGGATATATAGGAAGGCGGTGAGTTGTGTGAAGATTAATGGGATTGTCACCAATGTGTTTAAGTTGGGGAGATCTGTCCGGCAGGGGTGCCCTCTCTCTGCAATGTTATATGCGCTGTCGGCGGAGCCATTGGCGGGCCTGCTACAGAAAAACGAAGAGGTGAGGGGGGTGTTAGTGCCGGGGGGGGGAGGTGAGTTTGGTGTATCAATATGCGGATGATACAACGATCACGGTGAGGGATATGGAGAGTGTAAAAGGGGTATTGGAGAGTGTGGGGGTATATGGAAGGGCGTCAGGGGCTAAAATTAATATAGAAAAGTCAGAGTTTATGGTGTTAGGAACAGGGAGTGTAGGGGGAGTTGATAGGTTTAAAGGAGAAAAATGATTATTTTAGGGTATTGGGGATTAATGTGGGTTTAAAGGATAGAGAAGGGAGAGATGTACAATATGAGGTGATGCTAGGGAGCATAAAGAAAACATTAAACTTCTGGAAGTTACGAAAGCTAAAGTTGAGGGGAAAGGTGGTGGTGAATGGTTTGATAATGAGTAAGTTAGTGTATGTGATTAATGTGTTGGAGGTGCCAGAAAGGGTAATTAAAGAGGTTAATAAATTAGTGAGTGATTTTTTGTGGGAAGGAAAGGGTGTTAGGATAGCGAGGGAGGTTTTAGAAATGATCATAAAGATGGGGGCCTCAAATTAGTTAATTTAGAAAGAAAAGAGAGAACGAGGGGAGAAGGAAAGGAGAATGATGACGACAATGTGGATTATCTGGTGGAGCGGACACTTGAAGTTACCGTGGAAGGTGGAGTAACAAAGATATCAATGTTGGATTTATTGGTGGGGTTTCAAGAAATGTGTGGGAGAGTTTTGGGGTGCAGGGCGAAAGGGGAAAGGGTGTTTGAAGTGACAATACACACATGGGAGGGAAAGGAAATGTTATTGGAAGGGCTAAGGGTGAGGGGGGTGAAGGTGAAGGTGGAAGCGAGGGAACTGGGAAAAAAGGAAGCAGTTGTGTCATTTATGTATATGCCGATGTATTTGAGGGATGATGTGATTTTAATGAAGCTATTGCAGTGGGGGGTGAAACCTGCATCAAAAATAATAAGGAGGATGTTGCCGGGGACAAGGGTGGCGGATGGTACTAGGTATCTGAGGGTGGAGTTTGGGGCAGAGGTGAAATCCCTCCCCTATTCAACAAAGTTTGAAGGGGTGGAGGGAGTAGAGTATGTAAATGTAAGACATGATAGGCAGAGCCAGGTCTGCAGAAACTGCCTCAGACCTGGGCATATTTTTAGAGAGTGCCCAGCCATTAAATGCTACAGATGCAACGGGGTGGGGCATTTAGCCAGGAACTGTGGGATGGGGAAAGAGAGGAGGGAAGAGGGAGGGCAAGGGCCCCAAAAGGGAGCGGAGGGTGAGGAGGAGTCATTCCCCCCCCCGGAGGGCCCCAATTCTCAACCACCTCCACCCCCCCCTAACCAGGGGGTTGGAGAGGGGGGGTTGGAGCCTGAAGGGGTGGGTAAAATAGATAAGGGGAGGATGGATGGCGGTGAGGGTGTGGGAGGAGGGGGTGAATCAGGGGAACAAAGGCAACGAGAGGGGGAAAGTGATGGTGATGGTAAAAGTGATGATGAAGGTGATGGTGGTGATGATGATGATTGGTCTATGTATGAGAATGATGGTGTAACTAGTGTGGGGGGGAAAGGTTGTGAGAGAGAGAAACCTGAGGATGTGAGGAAAGTTAAAAAGAGGATGAAGGGGAATGAAGAGGAGGAAGAAAGGGGAGAAGGTGAAAATGAGGTAGAGATGGAGGAAATGGAAGAGGAAAGAGGAAGCGAGGGGAGTAAATACACAGGGGATGAGGAAGAGTTAGAGCAGCGACAGAAAGAGGAGGAGCTATTGAAAGTGAAGAAGAAAGAAAGGGAGGAGGAAAAGGCTAGAGAGGGAGAGAGAGAGGAGAAAGAGAGGGAAAGGGAGGAAGAGAGAGAGAGAGAGGGAAGAGAGAGAGAGGGAAGAGGAAAAGGATAGAGAAAGAGAAAGAGAGAGAGAGGAAGAGAAAAAGAGGAAAATGGAGGAAGAGAGAGAGAGTGAGAGAGAGAGAGAGGAGAAGAGAGTTGAGGCGATGAGAAAGGAGGGAAAGGAAGAAATTAAAGTAAACATAGGGGTGATGAATGGAAAGGGTAAGTGGGTAGAAAGCGAGGCGGATGAGCATCGAATGCTGGTCACACGAAGGATATATGGAGAAAGTGGGGAAAAATTGGAAGAGTGGGAGGGATATTGGGAAAGGATAAAAAAATGGGCGATAAAGGATGCCCAGAAAAGGTGGAGAAAGGAGTGTGGTAATAAGAGTAGGTGGTGATGGTGGTGGTGGAATGTGGAGGAATGAGGTATGGTGTAAGAGTGTTGATGGGTTTGTTTTTGTTTTGTTTTGCTATTGTGGGGAAATGTGCGATGGTGTGGATAAGGATATGGAAACAAATGAAGAATGTATTATGTTAAATGAAGGGAAGATTTGGGATTGTACAAAAGTGAGATTGTAGTGAATGATTTATTTATTTTTGTTTGGATTTGTTATTGATTTATTAGTAGCAATAGAAAGATGGATATATGTGTGAATGGAAAATAGTAATGAGTAATGTGATTTGATTGTATTTTGATTTGGTTGGAAGCCTTGGGGTCCTTCCTTTTTTGGGGATCGGTTAGGTGGACTACTATGGTTTTAAAATGTAACTTTGATTATGTTTTTCTATAAAATAAAAGATTTTAAAAAAAACACGCCCGATCTCGGAAGCTAAGCAGGGTCGGGCCGGGTCAGTACTTGGATGGGAGACCGCCTGGGAATACCCGGTGCCGTAAGCTTTTACTTTATTCCTTTGTCAGCACACGGCGCTGCCCTTTCAATTGACACAGCTGTACACAGACTGAGGAGGACAATGCGCAGTTAACTATTGCTCTAATAGACCATTTGCTCAAATATTCATATTTTAACAACTATTTCAATGTCAAACTAAAAAAGGACCACTGTCAATCAACAGGGTGTAGGGGGCGGCTTCGGAGAGAAGCAGTGCCGTGAGTGGCTCTGTCCTTTGTGATGCTGTGATTTAGCTCCAATCTCACAATGGAAAATCCCCATTGGATTTAAAGCTGCTTAAACACCGCTGATAACGTAGCCTTCTTCCACAACTAAAATACAATGTATCCTCTTTTACTCAAGCTTGGAGCCTAAAAGCGCCCAGAAAGGGATGAAAAGTCCTTAGCTTAGTTCCCCCTTTTAGAAGAGACCACGGTTTGGGCGGATCTTACTTAAATGGCAGCCGATTCCAGCACTTTGCAACAAGAAAAAAGCTTGAATTGAACTTTCAGCCAAACACCAAACAAGCGTTCACAGCAAGACTGAGACGCCGTATTTGATATGAATGCATTGTTGATAAAAGTCATGATTCAAGAGGTGATGGGCCACTTTGTGTTTTTTCTCTGGGCGGTGTGAAAAGAGCAGGAGCTAAACCGAAGAACCGGTTCGAACCTGAAAAGCTCTAGCATGGAGCTTGAACCGGTGTTGCGTTGGTGTGAATGAGGTATAACAGATACAGTGAACCCATTAGTTGCTAGATCTTTGAGATCATCAAGCATTGGTTTCAATATGACATCCCAACCACATTGTGTTATACATATGAATAACGCACAAGTAAAGCTAAATGAATATTCTTCAATTGAGACCGATAGCACCCGTCCATATTACCGATTGAATAATTAAAGGCACACAATTTGTGTTTGTTACGTTTAGAACCTAAAGGGTTCACTATAGGGCTGAACGATTAATCGATTTTAAATCGAAAATTTGAAATGATGCGATTATCTAATCGCAAAGCCTTTGATTTTTTGTGTCGAGTTCTCTTGTGTCAGTCATCCACACCAATCAGAAGTGCTGTGCTCCACATGTACCAGCCATTGTTAACCAATCAGAAGTGGCCCATGATAGAAGGTGATAGACAGATTGATCCAATCACCTGCCAAGTATTTCTGAAAGTGCCTGCCCTTTCCAAATGGCTTCCAATGGAGCTCTCCTAGATGGTTTCTGAGTCAGGTTAGTGATGCTCCATCACATGTTTCTATTACAGGGTGAATCTTAAACTGAAGCTTGACTTTAAAGCAACCCAACGGAAGTTTCATGTAAGTTTAGTTCTTTCACTCGTAGCTCGGGCTGCAGGGGTGCTAGAGACGGGAGCATGTTGATGCGACCTTCCTAGCCGGAGATATGGACGCATTTAACAATAAACTTCCGTTGGGTCGCTTAAAAACAAATATCGCAAATAAAATCACAATTAGATTTTTTCCCAAAATCGTGCAGCCCTAATTCACTACTTCAAACTCATCCTCATAAAAATGTAGTCTTAAGGAAATCGGATGATGCATAAAGAATAGGTGCTTTGCAAAGTAGACCATCGGAATAATAATATATTGTATTTCTATAGCGCTTTTCTTGAACCCAAAGACGCTTTACATTTGGGAGGGAGGGTAGACAAACAAAACAAAACCAAAAAGAAACAAAACAGAAAAGCAGTCAGGAGGAAGTTGGTTGAGAGAGGGGGGGGCTTATGGATACAGAGTTGAAGAGGTGGGTTTTGAGGCGGGACAGGAATAGTCACTTAAAACACCTTCATTTTTGTTGGTTATTGTAAGACTGTATTTCTTCCCAAACATCCTCGTGCGAGCAATATTTACGCAGCACTTGACTAAGAGGGACATAGGAGCTGCCCAGTTTGTGTCCTGAAGAACCTCTTAAAGTGTACTGAACAGGTTCAGTCATATCGAGTTTTGACTTGCAATGTACATTCAGCTTGTATTTAGACCTTTAAAAAAATCCTTAGATTGTAAAACATTGTGAATTCCAGGGTTTTCAGACATGTTGAAGCCACTTTTGTTTAAGTGGCAGGCTATGAATGCATCAGTTTTCCTTAAAAAAATAAAACAAAAAATTGACATCAAGTATTTCCTCCTGTCCATAGGGGGCTCATGCTCTTCGTCATCAGAGGACAACATGGAGTGCTTTTGTATTCTGTACATGTGTCTTCTGAAAGACTCGTATTTTGAAGACAATCATTCAATCCACAAGTTATGTTAAAATTAGACTCATGAGCATGTATAAGTCCAACATGCTGTACTAATTCCATTAGTGTGAATGTTCTTCAAGAGCACTTGGGACATTGATGTTGGCGAGGCATTAGTATAACTGGTTAAGAATTCTGATAACAGTGGTCGAGAGCGGCTTATCCTCCTCCTCAGATATTTACAGGATGCAGCGCTGTACGAAGGTCAAGGTGTTCTTACGGTTTGGTGGGTAGGCCATGTTGAAAACGAAATATGCGCAAAAGGCTGCGATGATTCCCTCTTCCAAATCTCTGGCCCTGCACAACTCAAACCCATCCGTTTTGACCACACTGGGTCCTCTGTGAAGGCTGACTTCCAGTCGGTGTGCGTCAGTTGGGTGGTCGGGTAAGGTGTGCCAGGCTAAACACAAAATGGAAAGTAAATTAGTATAACCCAAGTATGTACAGTGGTGCTTGAAAGAGACACGGAAAATCATGAGTCAAGTTCAACTGGAACTCAACATGACATGAACATTTGCAAACAAATGCACATCGGTTGCTCCTTCATTTATATGAATGAGGCAGATTTCCCCCTTCCGGTGTGACAGTGGCTTACCTCTTCCAAAGTAACATGATGCTCCACCTTTTCCTTGAAAGTAATTGGCAGGAGAACAAGCCCGGCTTTGAACTCCATGGCTAGAAGAGAGGAAGACACAGATCAACACAGATGTCTAAAATTGTAGTGGTGTCTGATTCTGTCTATTGTGGCACTGTGGTGAGAAGGTGGATCGGACATATACAATTATGAAAATGACCTAAATGGAGCAGGGAAATAAAAATAAAAGTAAAGATACAATGTGTGCAGATGTAAGTGAGTTGAATTGATTAAACTCACTCTTCAGTATAAATACCGCCTACCCGCACAATTGAATACAAGCATTTCAGTGGCGTAGCTGGTGGTGTTTGAGGTGGTCACAAGAGTTTGTAAGTCAGAGGATGAGATCGTACACACGTGGGCAAGTGAGGGAGGAAGCTAGGACGCAGTAGGGCTGTGCAATTAATCGTATTTTAATCTCGATTAAAACGATTATTTTGCTGCATTCCCTTTCGCAATGATGCTCTCAATGTGTCTTGCGTTACACATCCGCCCCCCCCCCCCCCCCCCCCCTCCCTAAAAAGTTCAATAAATGGATGTTTTCAAACTCAATGAATAATCGTATTTAATAATCGTGATTATGATTTTTGCCATAATCGAGCAGCCCTACGACGCAGTGACACCTGTACACAGACAGCATTACCTGGTAGATCTTCGCTCAGTGACTCTTCTCCTGCCTGCAGATATATCTTCTCCAGATGGGATTTTCCTTTTGCAAGGGCCAGCACCTTGGGTAGAAATTCCTCTCTGAAGCAGTGCTGCAGGTTTTCAATGTTGTGGATGCGGTTCATTTCCTCACACAACTGCATAGACGGACAGAAACAAAGACAACACAGTACAATTTAGAGAGGTTGATTGTATGGACGGAACACTACGCGTGCAAGTAGCGATGGATCTGCAAAATATTTGACATACCCCAGCAGGTGTCTTCAAGAATGGATACTTATTGGCGATAGCATCAGCCCGTACCCCCTCAGCCACCTCCTTTCTCCTCCACTGAAATGTCCTGGTCATTGCGTTGGTAACGATGCAGGAATCAGGCTGGGCCATCAGGTATTGTCGTTTCAAAACCTGTGTGTGCATCAATGGAGGACTCGTCCTCCCCAGAAACAGAAATGATGTCCTGCAGATAGACAAGACGGATGGAGACAAATGACAAACAGGAGCCTGGCTTAATATAGCAGTGCCACAATTTTCTATATACTGTATTTACTGACTCAGTTTTAAGTGTATACAGGCTGATCGGAATAAACTCACTGAAGATCGTCTGACAGAAGTCGTTATGCTTCCCTGGTTATTTTCTGGTGCTTGGGGAGATCTATGATGCCCAAACTTTTGCTTCATGTTTCGAACTACCTCGTGGTGGACCAGGGGCATCCTTTCAGCTTTGAACCGCCGTTTTAAAAGACATATGCCAGGTGTGCTAATCAGAGGAGACAAAGTTTCAAATTAACCCAAAACATTTTTGTGAAACTCATTGAGTTTAAAGACAAGGTAGCAGATGTTAGGCCACTACGGATCTGTTGAGCTAAAGGGGATTCTTTGTCAGAAGATGGCACCCATGTATTGGTTACACTTTCATAGCCGACAGACTGTCAATCAAAAGACAGAGATGATAGACAGGTGGTTCATCCAATCCCCTGCCAAGTATTTTTGAAAGTGCCTGCTCTTTTCAAAACAGTTTCCCATAGAGTCTTCCCAGTTGGTTGTGTGAAACAAACAAATCAGGCATATGTCAGGTTATGGAAATCAAAACATATATTGTGATGTAACCCAGATAACACCTCAATAGAAAAAATTCATTTGTGAATGAGCTCTCGAAAAGGCTTTTGTCCTTAATCGAAAATGCTATAGGGGAGATAACATCTGTCAATTCAACAAACCACATTGGACTATAAAACCAGTAAAAGTAACTTACATATCCATTCCCCTCCATATCCTTCAGGGAAGGATACCTGAAAATCAATGCTTTGGCCACTTTAATATATTCAGAATTCGTCGGATACCTAGAGAAAGCAGGATGAGAAAGTAAGTAAAGTATTTGTATGATTACAATACTGTAGAAGGTGTGCTGACAAATATTTACAATAGCAATATTTACATTGTGTATTGTGCCATCGTCTCATGCAATATCCTCACGATTTTGTGTCCATCAGTGGACACTTTATGGCATGGTTGTTTTGCGTCCAGTTTGGTCTGGATATCTTTGGGGAACGTTGGCAGGGTAAACACAGCAGGGAAACTCCCATATTCTTGACTGCAGGACAAAGAGGCATGTGATTAGCAAAGGACAAAAAAGCTGACAAATATGTGAGGACATGTGATTATATTTAATCACATTATCATGTTATGGCTATGTGCGAGTGATATTTGATCATCCATGTAATCAATACCCCTTCCCATTCAACCACACACTCCCATGTCATTGTAAACACATGTTCCTGCTTCCCATGACTGATATTTTTATTCTAATGAAAGTGTCAACCATTTCCCTCCTGATTAGTTAATACATAGAAGTAAAGCTAAGACATGAAAGCTACAACAAAAGTTATCGTAAGCAGTTGGTTAGTATTGAGCGTTCAACAAGGTAATGTTCAGGGTTCTTACACCTTTTCCAAAGTCAAATTCAAGCACTTTTCAAGCATTTTCAAGGTGCATTTTCCAGCTTTTCAAGCATCTTACAGCTGTTGTAAATTACATATTTATATACACATACTCAAATGATTATTTCTCTACCTCACATTAAATCAGATGTTCTTTATGCTATAAACAACCAAATGTGTGTTTCGTGATAGCATTCTACACGAGGATGAAAAATTAAAGAAAATAAAACTAAGTTTAATATTTCAAAATGAGTGATCTGTACGTAGACTAGGCCTACCATATAACCTGGCTGATCCGATATAAAACAATCAGCCAAATAACTTTTCAATACATTATTGATTACTATTGTTGAGGTACTTTTAGGTTGGCAGTAAACATAAGTCAGAGGTAAATGGTGTACTTTTACTCCACTACATGTATTTAATACATTTAGTTACTTCACAGATGTGGATGAATGATGTGAAATCTAACCAAGTGTTGAATCAGACTTTAGTTCCACCTGGAGTAAATCCACCAGCTACCCTGCAGTATACAAAGTCCTTCAAACTAGCTGCACCTTCACCAGCTTTGAGAACACTTTCATGATCAATCATTATAAAACATATCATATATATCAGGCATCCTCAAACTACGGACTCCGGTCCCGATCCGGACCGAACCACCACTGTCTCCGGACTCTGAGCAAATTATACTTTTCATATGTATGATCTCTCTGTATTATATGAGAGACATCGCCACAACGTATTCGCAACGAGTCAAAATTCTCCGCTATGTCCACTGCAAACAGCGCTCTGCATGTCTGACTGTTCCACTGTGTTCCACCTGTGTGTGTCAACGCTTTGGTCCAATCACATTCAGCATCCAGTCAGCGTTTTTTCCCCCCAAACAATCTGCGAATCAGAGGCACAGTAGGGCGGGTCTTCGCGGAATGCGGGTGGGAAAAATGTGTGTGTCTCTTTCAACCTGTCTAAGTCAGAGCGAGAATAAAAAAATTCAGAGCGAGAGTTAACAGCTCATCTAGTTCCATCTGTACTGTAGCTAGTAGCCTAGTTTCACCTACCGGGGTGGCAACTGACACTCTAGAAATAGGCCTTGCCACCCCAGTTGGCAGCTTTGTTTTGAAAGAAAAGTTGTGGCTCATCGGACATTTATGAGAGAAAGTCTCTAATGTCCGAGTGCAAGTGAATGCAGCACAAGATGCACGTCCCCCGGTCCTGGCGCGAGCGTGGACATACGTTTGGCGGCGATTTCATTTTGAACTGGACGGTGCAAAACGAGAAGCATTCGGACCCAAGCACTGAAGGAATGAGGTATTTGCGGTCTACAATGACAGAGAAGAGACTGTCAGTTTGACTGTACTCAGCATTGAATCAAAACGCACTAAAGCTGTTGATCTTAATACGTTTGTGAGGCGTTTTGCTGATCAAGATGGTAATCGCCGCATTCAGCTGTAATAGACATGTCAACTTGATGCTCTGCTCACGGATGAGCATACACAACTATTAAGATGATGACCTTATGTGTGTAAATATATTGTTTTCTTTGAGGGGGTCTGCCCCCAAAAAACAGTTTTAAGTCCTGAGAAAGTCAAATAAGACGGTGTGTAAAACTACACTGCCCAGCCAAAAAAAAGTAACCACTTTGATTGAACTAGGCCAGTAGGTAAGGGCTTTCCACAGGATAATAACTGCAGTATAAAATAATGCATGACTGAAGTGATGGCGACCATGTTGAAAGCAAACAAAAAGAGGAAATAACAGGTCAAATCAAGCAAATCCCCCTCTCAGATTCCACAGCAACCAGAAGAACATAAATACTGGCTGGTGATTTGATTCATCAGCTTTGTGATGGAATAAAAAATGCACAGTGCATTTCCTTAGCTGTGGGTGAGTCCACTGACACCACTGACGATGCTCAGTTGCTGGTGTTTGTGAGTTTTTATGATGACAAAGGGGGAGTTTGTTGAAGATGTGTTGGGCCTGACGAACCTCAGTGGACACACAAGGGGGCATACATTTATAAAGCAATAATGGGAATTCTGAATGAAAGAGGGTGCAGCTGCCTTTACTCATAACTGTGCAGCTCTTACACTGCGACTCTGAGGGATCAAGCACAGACACAATAACAATGAAAACTGCTGCATACAGATTATTTTTGTTTTTGCAACCTCGTGTTAAGAATCTTGTTGCAATTGTTTAAAAGTTTGAATGACCGTAATAAAACGGACCTTTTTCTTATTGAAACATTTATTTTGGACCTTTAAGATTTGTATTCGAGTACCCCTGATATATATTATTCTGAAATGGACCAATCTGCACAATGAATACTTTTACTGTCGCTACTTTAACTATATTTAGATGAGAATACTTTTATACTTTCACTTGAGGAACATTTTTGAATGCAGGACTTTTACTGAAACCGAGTATTCCTACACTCTGGTACTTCTACTTTTACTCAAGAACAAGATCTGAGTACTTCTACTTTTACTCAAGTACAATATCTGAGTACTTATTCCACCTCTGGTAGTGTATTAGTCTGAATTGTAGCCACAAAATCACGCAGAGCTGCATAAAAATAGACTCACAATGGTAACAAGTGGAAAATAATATTTACAAATGTGTACAATGATTTGTAGGCAATTTTGACTACTCAAGACACCTGACATAATTACAAGCAGAGAACAGAGTAATGTAACGTCACAGCAGGCATAACAGCCGCCGGTGTTTCTTGTGAGTGTTTCCCCGGTACACCAATGCAAAAATACACACACACACACACTCGCGAGCTTCCCCCAGACCAGTAATACAACCGAAAATGTGTCTTCGGGTCAATGTGACTGATTTCGATAGATCAAGTCACATTTGGTTTAGGCACGAAACATACTACCAGTAGAAATACATTGCTTTCAAAATCGCTCTGTGTCGAATCAATAATTATATTTCGTGACTATAACACAAAATGCCGTGAGTGCTTCATCCTCTGAACACCACGATGGCGACTGTAACGCACATAACATAGGTACGCTCCTCTGAAATTATTGTCCCCTGCAATTATTATTATCCCTCAATCGAGTTCGCTATTCAGCTTGCTAACGTTAGCTTAAACAAACGTAACATGCAATGTTAGCCTAATCTAAAATGCTCTACTCCGGCGTACCTTTCATGTGGCTCGTCGGCGCAGACTCTGGCATCGTTATGTTTGCAAACTTTGCAGGAGGCTACTCGTGGGCTTGACCCTCGTCTTAGCCATGGCTTGTATTTGTCTTCTGCTAGCCAACGCTCGTTGAAACTGCAACCTCCTGGCACACAGTCATCTATCACTCATCAGAATGCCCAGGTCACACGCAACACAAACACTTGCAGGTCGCGCGGATTGCGCGGGAAGGCCGCAGCGGAGCTGTTTTATGTAGAAGCGAAGCAATTCTTTTCTTTTAATCTAAAAAGCGAACTATTCAGTCAGACAGCAATTTATTGTAAAAGTAAAGCATTTACATTTTCAAGCACTTTATCTCAATTTCAAGCACCCTTCCCAAAATTCAAGCACTTTCCCAACCTTGAAAACACCACGTCAAATTTCAAGCCTTTTCAAGGATTTCAAGCACCCGTACGAACCCTGAATGTCACACTTGCCATGTTGGAGAAACAGTCATTTGGCAAGATCTCAAAAGTCAGCGTTGTAGTTGGCTCTGGCTCTTTCAGCTGGTGTGCAAATTGTAGGAATTTTGTTTGCTTTTTGAAGCAACCTTCAAAGAGGTATGTGACCATCGTCTCGGTCTGGTCATAGGACATTGCTTCCCCGTCCACATAATTATCTGAAGACACAAATTATGTTAGCAAATCTCAAAACACTTTTCAGAATGTAATCATTCCTAATCCATGCTGACATTATGTCGTTCCACATTCAAGAGATTAACCAGAGCTAACAGTTTAAGTACGGAAAATACAATTGGTAACAAGCAGTAGCGCTGAGCAAAGTGACTAGAATGCAACCACACACTTATTAAAAAAACACACTTTATAAAGTCAGGCAACACTAACCAGGCTTCATGTGATTCAGTTTATTTGTACCTTACTACGACCCGTTCACTGTTATTGATCATTGTGGAGAGAGGCAGACGTTTTGTTTTGTATTATAGCAGCTATCGGATTGAATCAATACATGGGCTGCACAGGTTGCCATGTCCGACTATCACAAGTAGAATGAACTACATTAATAAACAATGAACCACGGCACTCTGGAGAAAAGTACAAGGTTGGAGAAGTAGTTATTTAATTTAAACTGGCTTCGTATGATTAGAAGTAACAGGATCATCGACCCGACGCAGTCACCCATTATTGTTGTTGTTGTGAGCACCGTCAGCTACGTAAACGGTTGCGTCATGACGCAGCACCCGTCGGGCTATGGGCCGTGTCAGAGCCCTAGAGAGATAAGAGTTACGACACTCTTTGATGTCGCCGCCAGCCGGTCACGTGGTTTATGTATGCCGGGATAGTTCAAAACGCACTTCCGTTGCAATGCTTCTCTATGGCAAAAACAGCACAAACATGGTCAAAATAGTCATAGATTAAACCAACGCTGTTATTTTTTAAAGATTGCTTTCATATTTACATGATGTGGTTACACTTTGTATGGATTGGCACTATTTATAAGTTTCGTTATTTAACGATATGTTGAGGGGAAAGTGTGGTATCACAAGCAGGCTATGTTGCTGTCACTGCCAGGGCAGTCATGTCCATAGTATAGTTGCTAAAAGGCTCATCCTTCATTCACTGCTGTAGAGTAGCCTATTCAGTAGGCTATTATTTGTTTAAGACTGAATAATACCTTTGAAGAACAATCATTAAACTAGTGTGTATATTACAATACAAAGGAATCTATCCTAGCATGCCATCAAGCATTAAAAAGTAGCGCTAGGCTAGTTGTACAGTACAGATGAGTTAACACGGAACAGTACCAAAAAAAACAAAGTACAGTCAACATGTCACATAATGAAATGTTAGTATATCCCAAAATGCAATGAAATATTAAATGAAATATTTATCACAAACGCCACCTAATTTCTACTAGTGCTAGCAGTTAAGTCATATCATACAGAAAAAGCCGACTAAGGATGGCTGACACGGTCAGGTTCAGCGGATAAAACCAAAATAACAATAAAAACACATAATCAATCTAAATCCTGCTTGTTAGTTACCCAGCATCATTGATATATAAGCTGCTAGCGATTCATTACTGAAATCTTAGCTTCAAAGCTGACGAAGTCGCGCTAGCTAACTAGCAGACAATGCTAGCTAAATTGGTTGTAACAACCAAGATAAAATATAGATAATTACGTTGTGCATATACAAACGAAGACCAGTATAAGCATCATAAAGGGCCTCTGATACAATATAGACAGTTGACAATTCAAAAGAGTTCGATATTTCAGCAACTTACCTCTGGAACTAATCGACGCGCCGTAATGTAAGTGAATGAGGTCCAACGCCCAAATGACAATATTTTGAACTATTTCTATGTCCATACCCCGGAAGTAGGCGCCGCCATTTTTTACAACGGAGGTCTATGGGAGTGTCGTAACTCTTATCTCTCTAGGGCTCTGGGCCGGGTGAACAAAACGGGGGGAAGAAAAACCGGTTCTGAATCAGAAGAGCGCAAGCACGGAGCTAGAACGGGAGCTGCGTCGGTGTGAAGGGGGCATTTCATACTGTAGGTAGCTTCGCACACGGCTGCTTCCCGCATAACGTTACATGTCTGCACAAGCTCATGTCAAGCAATCACTACACTAGCACAGCTGTAGCATCTTGCGCTATGGCTAACTGACGTTGTCTCGGAAATTAACAATCTCTCCTTTATTTAAGCAGAAGAAAATAAATATGAGTGCCTTTTCCACAATGAACAGATTCATGTTGGTCAATAGCCCCGTGTCTGTGAGCTTTAGTGAAAGCCACCAAGCTAATCACCCATCCAGCAAAGTAGGCAGACAACTGTCACATCGCGCGCTCACTCTGTGTCTTTGAAATAACGTAATGGCGTCGGCGCTCTGCCAGTTAGCTAGGCTAACTATGTTCAGTTAGCTAGGTAACGTTAGTTAGCTTCACACACGGTTGCATTATAACCAATACATTCACGAACATTTAACCGGCAGTATTCTGTTGTTCTCCAGGGACTATTGAGCTAGCTGGCGTTAGATACCATCTCCGCGGTCTTTTCATGAAAAGCATTAGCCCTAGTTAGCTAAATGTTAGTTACTTGACTAGTCATGATGAATGAAGGTAAAGTTCACTTGCCTCTGAATTTCCTAGCTTCCAGTTCAGTTACTTCTATCCCATATTATATTACCTTGGTGATAATATCACTAGTGGATAGACAGGTCACGGCAGAAGTTGTCCCACTGTTCGCCATGTTACATGTAACACGAGGTCTTTCGAAAAATCGGAATCTTCAAATCTGGCCAAATATGACCGTGAGATTATCTCCCGCTCTCAGCTCTCTTAACCAATCAGGTGTTGTGTAACAGATTAACGAGAGGCGAAGTCCCCCCCTCTCAAAAATAACTGGATGGCCTACCTGCCTGTCAGCCTTCCACCTGTGCACAAATTTATCTCGTGCCCTCATTGGTCATGAGCGCGTTCGTGTGTGTTGGAGGAGGGGCTCTGTAAGGAAGTGGCAGATTTTCTCCGGTCGTGTATTTTACAAACCCCCAGGAAGTGCGCCGGAGTCTGATGACAATATTCGTAGTGGCCAAATGGCGATACTACACTTCCTTTAGGTTGTTGGGCCCGGAAACACTTTTTCCCATTGATTTACATGGGGAAAGAGTGGTCTGTAACTCGTTGGATAATTTTTTGTAAACTAAATAAACAACCCAGTATGAACACTTGTATAGCTCTTATTAAAAACATTCGTTCCTCAAGTTGTAAAACTGTGCTAATAACGTTATTCTGAGAGTTATTTCCCTCTGCATTATGAACGCGCATCTAACCCACGGGACCGCGCCGCCCGGCACGTTCATGTTACGTGTTTACCCATGGATGCACAATAAGAACGGACCATATACTTACTGCCATCCCACGGAGCTGTAATAATGGATATATTGCAATTTTTTGCTGTAATTCATCATTTGTAAAATATTATACTATGGGCTGTATGATTAAATCTTGTACCGTAATTGTTGTATTAAATAAAGTTAATATTACCGACGTTAGATTAACGTCCCTGTAGCTTATTATTGCACTAAGAAGCTTATTGCACTGTGTATATATATATATATATATATATATATATATATATATATATATATATACACAGTGCAATAATTATTTCATGCTAAATTAAGCTCTGTTGGATATCACTAGATCCTGTTACAGCGTAATATAAGTACATAACGATTGATGTGTACATTAGCATAATTACTAGCTAGCTGCTAACTGCCCCCTTGTTAATATCAAATCCATGCTGTCATGAACGCACGGTGCTGTTACGTGTACGCAAATTGACGTGCTTGATGTGAACGAGCATTTTGGTTAAAGTTGCGCATGCGCTATGAGCGCACATACGGGTACTTCTCAGGCATGCCGGGTAATCTGTGACGTTTCACTCTCTCAAAAGTTGGGCCATTTTATCATCATGCGCTAATGAGCAACTCTCATAGGAATGAATGAGGCCCCGCCTCCTACGCTGTATCCAGTTCTTATTATACATGTGAAGTAAAAACTTCTTTGCAGCAATGTTGAGCCAATCATGAAATGAGGGAAACTGGATTCGCCTTAGTCAATACACTGATATTTATTGAGGATTCGTACGGCCGGAGAGATCACGGCCGGAGAGATGTTGCAAATGTATTATCTTTTCAATTTACACACGGCATCTATTGCACGTCTGTCCGTCCTGGGAGAGGGATCCCTCCTCTGTTGCTCTCCCTGAGGTTTAAACTGTGGGTTTTCTTCGGAAGTTTTTCCTTGTACGATGTGAGGGTCTAAGGACAGAGGGTGTCGTATTGTCATACTGATATTTTGTACAAACTGTAAAGTCCACTGAGACAAATGTAACATTTGTGATATTGGGCTATATAAATAAACATTGATTGATTGATTGATTGATCACAGTATATCACATTTCTCATGTAAGATACCAGCAAACTCTGAAGACAAAGGAGCCAGGAACACATCTATACATGAAGAAGAGGAGGGCCCTAAAACACGCAGGTTTTCCTTTAATGCATGACAGATGTCGAGACAAAGACTCGTTGCATTGCAAACCCACATGAGCCAAGCTTCTCCCCCACAGAATATCAGATGACCTCTTGACCTGTGTCTTCCTGAGAAGCTATGGATCACATTACAGGCAGGAATACACTTTAACCAGAAACAGATTCCCAAGGACAAGTCACTAAACTCTATATACTTTAACAAGACTAAAATATTCCTTTACAATACATCCATGGTATTTTCAAATTCGAGCAATCTCGAGCCGGGTTGCGTTCCGATAATCCAAAAATCAGCTCCTAAATTCTAACCCTATCTCCTATTCCTTGACCTCTGAGTGAAACGTCACGGGGTTAAGGGATAGTGGATAGGAGAATTCAAAAGGATTTAGGAGAAGAGACCGCGGTACTTTAGAGAATCCGAATGCACTTTCACTATCCGACGTGTTTATGATGCGCCAGCGGACGTCATGAATGTGCGTCTGCTGCTGTGGGGAAACTATGGAAACTACAGTTTTCTATACAGCGGACTACAACATGGATGTTTAATAAGAACGAGGGACTCCTGTAAACTCATCTAACGACTCTGCACCGTGCTCTGATGCTGTTGCTTTATGCTTTATGAACGTGGACAACAGTTGGAATTGAAATAAAAAAGGAAAGTGAAACATCCCAATACGTATGATTGTATGAACTATGAAAAGATCTTAAAATCAATACAAATGTATTTATTATAAACGTTAGTCCTTAACATCTATCACTGTGTATATCACCATTCAAACATCTTTTACAAGTTGAACAAACCCCACACAGCTCAGTAAAGACTGTGAGATGTTGACTTTATTTGATCATTTCAGTAAAAACTAACGTTCATATTTCTCTTTTTGATTATAACACTGAGGAATGTTCAGAAAAAAGCACTTTGGCAACTTACCACATACGTTTTAAAATGCTTAATAAGCACCGTAACTTTCATGATATAATTTCTCGGTCATAATCGGTTGTTTCCGTGAACGGCCGACTGTTGAGTGACGGCAAATGCTGCGGCTGCAATGCATTGTGGGGCAGCATTTTCTCCTCTCCTTTCGGTTAGGGAGGTCCAGTGGTTCCTAAGCTAAAGGAGGTTATAAAGGAAGTTTGAAACCTCCTTTCCTTTCATTTGGAGAATTGGAACGGCACTTATCATGGCTGCCACTGAGGGACTTCCGGGTCATTTCACTCCATTAGGAAGGTTCCTAAGCTAAATGGACTATTGGAATGCAACCCAGGTTTCTCAAATGTATATACCCTACCTTTAATCACTGATTGAGATATGATAAAGCTAATTTAATCTCATACATTCATGGGATTTACTGTAACAGTAAGACCTTTTTTTTAACAGAAGACCGTAGCTAGAAGCTGCAGCTAGACTGCAAAAGCATTCGTTTTTTGTTTTTGAGGATGGAACAATTTCACACACAGATATTGGCTCTGTGGCGTCTATCAACTTCCGGCGGCTGGGTGTGCGGTTGTAAACTTCCGGTCTACGGTGCGGAGTGGTTGAGCGGGTAGATAGCGATAGAATAAATCAGTGCTTCTCAAAGTGTGGTCCGCGGACCACTGGTGGTCCGTGAGCGCCCCCTAGTGGTCCGTGAATATATTGGTAACATTTCACATTTGAAATTAATTAATTAATTAAAGTTTTCCACACTCTCGCGGGAATATCTCCGCAATGGAGCGAGCTTAAGTTTCACTTTTGATTGCATGATATAGCCCAGATAAACACCTTCATCACACATGTTGCCACTTGTTTGTACCATTTTCAGGCGATTTGTAAAAAACGATGTGTTTTTGGATATTTGTGGAGTTAGGTGGTCCGCGAGTGTTTTTTTATTGGTTAAGTGGTCCTTGGTATGAAAAAGTTTGAGAAACACTGCGATAGAGAGAGAGAGAGAGAGAGAGAGAGAGAGAGAGAGAGAGAGAGAGATTTGATTTTTCAAACCACTTTTATTCACAAAGCAAATAACCAAACAGACACATTGACACACATTGTCAGTTCAGACAACGACTGAAAATAAGATCCTCATTCTCCACAGAACACAAAGCATTTTTAAAGCACCACATGGCCTCAAATTCTCCCACATTTTTTGTTAAGCAAAAGTAACCGTAGTCCGCTTTCAGTCTTGCTTTAACCATCCGCTTGAAAATCGAAACTGCATCGGTATCCAATGAGTCCTCAACTGTATTCCTCCTGCTGAGGTAAATGGCCATTTTAGCCTGCCCCAACAAAAAATTA